TTGTGCAGGGAGAGGAGAGATATTTCAGGGAAGGAGTGTATGATGGGCATGATTGGGCAGGGTGTTGAGGGGTGGGTTGCAGGGCTAGCTGGATGGCAGAGGGCTTAAACTGTGAGGTGAGGCACAAGGTAAAACAGGCAAAGATGGGTCAGATCAGAAGATGAACCATGATTACAGGCACCCTAATGGGCCACAGGGTGTCACAGAAAATTCTTGAGCAAGGGGATTGGTCATAAGGAAATGAGACATTGGGGAGAAAAGAAAGAAAATACCTATATTTAAAAGATAGTACGAGATAGGCAGTAGGTTGGGCATTTCAATTTATTATTATTATTTCCAGTGCCAAGGACAACTGGATGCTAGGCAATTGCTCTACCACTGAGATACACAGCCAGCCCTCAAATTTATTATTTCACTGGAGCCTCACAACAACCCCAGTTGGTTGATATCAGTGTTTCCCATTTTATTGAAGAGAAAACTGAGGATTGAACTCAGGGGCACTCAGCCACTGAACCACATTCATTCCCAGCCCTTTTAAATATTTTATTTAGAGACAGGGCCTCACTAAGTTTCTGAAGCTGGCTTTGAACTCAGGATCCTCCTGCCTGAGCCTCCGTAGCCACTGGGATTACAGGCGTGCACCACCATGTGCGACTTCACATGCTTTTAAACTGTTGTCACTCTTGGAATGTCCCTTGCACTCTGAGAGCCCCCCCCCCCCAGGCACTGCTCTGTGAAATCTTTTCACAGAGCAGATGTCCTTAGGACACATTCTGGTGTCACACGGGGCAGAGAGGGCTCAGTCCCCCTGGGCCTTTTATGTACCCCTGGCACTTGGACAGCTGTAAGTGTTTGGTCTCTGGTCTAATAGAAATGAGCTCCAATTCCAGTTTTGCTGGAGACTTTGATCAAAATCCTCAACCACACCTAGCCTCAACTGAGGTGGGGCAGTGGGTATAAGCCTTAGGCTGGTAACCAGACCAGGCTGGAAGTGACAAATCCCTGAAGTGAAAGAATAAGATGCCTGTTTTCATTTCAAAATAATGGGAATGGTGGCAAATGGGAAGGTTAGAGAGGAAATAAGATTACCCATGAGTTGATAATGGTTGAGGTCGGGTGATGGACTTAATGGGGGTCCATTACACTATTCCTTCTACCTCTGTGTGTTTGAAAATCTTCATAACAAAAAATAATAACAGACTACTTAAGAAAAACAACCACCACCACCAGCTGTGTCCACCACTCCCTTCCCCAGCGGAACCAGATCTCTGATTCCCAGGCAATGTTCTACTTTCACATCTCCTCAGGTCCACAGTCTAGGTGAAATCCAGCTTCTACACTCTGCCATACTAGCTATGGGATCTCATGCTGGTGTGTTTCCCCTGTCAAGTCTCAGTTTCTTCTTCTGAAAAATGGGATGAAGACTAATGACGTTATGGAATTATTGTGAAGTTTGTTATTTTATTTATTGATGTGTCTACTGTGCAGTAGTGAAGTTTAAATGGGGTAACACAGGATAATATGGGCTGGAAGTAGTCCATAACCAGTGAGCAGGCCATCAGGGCTTGGCAGTCATTCCAAGCATCATGAGACTGCTAGCCTCAGGAGCAACCCTAAGCCAATGTGTGTAGCAGAGGCCAGTGCAGAGCCTAGCAGGGGACAGGTCCACCTCCTAGGTGACTTTTATGAGTTTTCCAAAGCAGAGGTTCATCACCTAGAAAGGGCATTTGCATCCGCCTTTCTTCATAGATCAAACACAATGCCTGCTTCCTTTCCCCTCCCATTTGTTTGGGACCCTAAGTGTATGCCACACAGACCCAGGTGTGCCTCTGTCTGTGCAGGTAGACCACTGCTGTGAATGTGGGTGAATTCGCAACACACTGGCAGCCAGGAGTGAACAGTGTGTTAAAGGCTCTCTGTTTGTGTTGGTAGTGCTTACCTGGGGCTGGGGGGCCCAGCCTTAACAGATTTCAGCAGCTGATCTTTCCCTATCTTTGAGGCACATTTTCCTCATCCATATTTATTCTGAGTCATCCAGCACCAGAACACCCGGGTCACTTGGTGTCGCCACCAGAGAGACAAGCAGGGATAGGGCTGAATGGAGAAAAAGGCCTGAGCTTGCCATTGGCTTCCAGGACTTAGCCTCAGTTTCTCCGTCAGTGTGGAGTAAAGGAATGTGCCGCCCTGCTATGAAATAATCCGTGAATGAAGGACTGAATAGATGCACAGGTGTGTGGAGACCTTTTCAGTATGGCAGACAGTGTAACCTGTGGGAGCCTTGAGGGTTGGGGTGGGCGCTCCACTAGGTGAGGGGAACCCATTCGCCTGGGCCAACCCTTTAGGGATAGGGACAGAGCAAGAGAAAGCAAAGGCAGAGCTGGAGCAGGTGAAGAGGGACAGGGCAGGATGGTTCGCAGTAGTCAAGAAGGAGCGAGGAGCGACAGGGAGAGGACACCACCCCGAAAGCCACGCGAGGGTGGAGGCAGCGCGGGGTCCTGGGATGACTACCTATAGCAGGCGGGGGTTCCACGTCTCCTTCCCGCTCCGCCCGGCTCCGCAGCGCCGCCTGGCGGACGCGCGGCTCTCCGCTCGGGCTCCAGGCGCTGGTTTGCCACGCAGGGGCTCCCGTGGCTTTCAGGAGAAAGGAGCAGAGGTCCGCCGGAGGGGGCGACTGGAGGGGAGGACAGTGGGGAAGGGCGTTGATTCCCCCGAGGAGGAGGCTCGAACCTTTACTGGGACACGCAGTACATACTGGCACTGTCCCTTCACTAACTGGCAACAGGGGTGACTTGGCTACGTCCAACACGTCGGGGAATCCTTTTTGTCCTCAGTCCCCGGTCCTGCAACACTGGGATTTTGCTGCCGTTGCGTAACTTCTCCGGGAAGAAGGTCTCATAAAAAAAAATTTAAGGGTTTTGGTTTTTGTTAATAAAATGCCAGGAGGGGGCACGAAGGCACGAACGTCCCATTCGTCTCCCTGCCGGTCCCAGGCCTGGATCTCAAGGCGGTGGAATTTCTAGGTACTTCCCTGCCCGAGCAGGTCCTGGCGAGCCAGGCGTCTGCGGCCCAGAGATCCCGCCAAAGGCAAAGGACAAAGCTGGCGGGTCACAGTGGCCAGAGTCGCCTGGCTAGTGCTGGTGAGAGGATGAGCAGCGGCTCTCAGGTCCCTAGCCGCAGGCGATGGAGTGTGGAGACTCTGGTAGCACCGTTCGGTGAACATCCCCCTCGCCCCCCTGGCGGTGATAATGGTGGGAGGTGTGTGTGGGTGGGAGGGGGGTGCGGGGCTATCTGTCGGAGAGCTGGGGACGACGACCCGGCCAGTCGGCATGGACTCTCGAGAACCAGGCCCAGCCTAGCCTCTCTAGGCCGGACCACAGTGGGAGCCGGGCAGCAGCGTCCCCGGGCGCTCAGGGCCAGGGTCCTTCTCAGGCGCCACTTTCCGGGTCTCCAGGCGTCCCTCCGTCAGTTTCTCAGAGGCGCCCGAGACTATCCCCAGAGAAGGGGCGGCGAGGCCTGCGTTTCCACCAACTCGGCTCGGGCAGCGGCCTGGGAGCTCCCGGCGGAGTCCCAGAGGTCGCCTGGGGCCGCTCTGCGTGCAACCCGGGAAAAGGCCCAGCAGCCGCGAGGCAGGCGAAGGGAGGAGGGTGGAAAATCTCAAAGTCACTAACCCGCGTGCAAATGGCTGCCGGGCCCGGCGGCTGTCGCACCCAGGCTCGAGGTTGAAGGCGCGCTCTCCGCAACCCCCGGAGGCACCGGCGGGAGCTGGGCACCGCGGGAAGCTGAGACTCGAGAAAACTCAAGAACTAGAGGTGCTCGCTCAGCGCCCAAACTTTGGTCCAGGATCCCAAGAAAGGGCTCCTCGGGCCCAGCGCTCCCAAACCGCAGAAGACCAGAGCTTGAGCCCAGGCCTGGGGTGTAGGGAGCGGCACAGACGTCGGAACCCCACCCCCGCCCAGAAGCGATTGGGACAATACGCGGTTCCATCTGCAATTCTGGCAGCCCTGTCCCGGGGTCCAAGTTGGGGAGAAGGGAGCGGCCGCACAGCGGGGATCCGCGCGGGGACCCAGGCTCCCGCCGCGCGTTAGCCCAGAGGAACTCGCCGTCCAGAACCGCACTCGGTGCCCACCCAGTCGCCTGAGAGAGGCGGAGCAGAGACACTCAGGCCCTCACAGGGCCGAATTTAAAGGGACTTCCGGGTCCCTTGCCCCAGCGCGCTCTCCTGCGGCGCGGACCGGGATGGAGTGAGGGCTGTGGGGCAATGCACACAGGGAAAAGCAGCGGCGGCGCCGGCCTGCAGCGGGCCGGTATTCCCGCGGCAGGAAGGAGCCCGGGAGTGGGCGTCGGGATCGGGCAGTGGTATCTAGGTGACCCTAGGCCGCCAGAAGAAAAGCAGAGCGAACTCACGTTACTCCCGAGGGACAAGAGGGTTCCGCGCGCTCTTTCTAGGCCCAGGAAACTGGTTCCCCAAGAGCCCCTCGGTCTCCCAGTTTATCCGGGCTGCTTGCCCCGGGCAGGGGATGCTTAGAAAGTAAAGCGAGGGACAGCCGGTGGCCGCAGGTCCTCGAAGCCCTGGCCCGGACAGCGTGTCCCAGCCTGCTCCGCTCTCTGAAAAAAAAAAAAAAAAAAAAAAAAAAAAGAAACCCAAATGCCCAAAAATCTCAAGAGGAGAACTTAACCAAAACAAAAAGGCCTCCCCCCCACTCCACCCTTTCACTTTTAACAAGCCAGCTGCTCAGAGAAGATTTAAATAAAAACGAAATGAGCAATAGCGAAGGTCACCAAACTTCCCCCTTTAAGAACATTTTCCTGAAGGCCAACCCCGCGGCTGGCTGGACCTTCCGAAGCCTGTGCTTCTTGCAGAAAATCACAACAAAGCAATAGGAAATTCGGCCCGGATCCTGGGAAGAGTAGCGGTGAGGCCCCGGGAACCCACAGCAGCCGAAACTGCCCGGCTCTGCTCTTCAACCAAAAAATTAAAAATGATAAGAAGAAGTAAAACCTTTTAATACATCAAATATACGGAATTTAATCTTTAAAGCGATACATTGTCTATTATTTTAGTACATGACGTAAACCTTGTCCCCTTCTCAGCGGGTGGACTTAAAAATTAAAAATAGTTAAGTGTTCCTTTTAAAGAACAAAATAAGGCAAATGAGGTTTTGGAATAGAATTGTTTTTCCTTTTTTTTTTGTTTTCTTCCAGAATACATACAAAAAAATACCCATTCTCTTTTGATGGTATACACCTTAAAAATAATTGCAATTTGAAATTAGAACTGACAAATTGTGACTTGTTTTGTCTTTTTCATTTTTGTAACAAACATGCATGTAAATTTGTGTTTCAGTCAGACATTAAATAAGAACGTACGATACAATCAGAGCAATTTTAAAGTAACATTAAAGAGAAGACCTCTAGTTCTGTGGCGGTTTTGTTTTTATTTATAATCTACAAGGGATGGGAGGGTTTGTTTTCCACATTTTTACCCTCAAGTTAAAAAAAAAAAAAAGTTTCCCTCCTCCTTTTTACCTACGGAGCTCAAACTAAATAATGCACTTTTGAACCACGGGTCCGCTTGGAGCTAACATAAATAAATACCAGTGTCCACCGATGAAGTCCTCAGATGAACACCTTCTCAATTATTTTTTCCTTCCTTTTTTTTTTTATAAAAAGTCAAATGATATTTTTTTCAACTTTTATAAAGTTTGGGTGGGGGAGGTGAGAAGTAGGGGAAAGGGGAGTTTCCCACCGGGTCTCGTTCGCTGTTGATGGGTAGATAGGTACATACGGTATATATATATATATTTCCTTCGGTAGCGTGGGTCTTCCCCACTCGCGGGTGTCAACAGCCTCCGCCGGGATCTCGCCCCTCCCTGGGCTCCTCCCCTCCCCCAGTTCCTTTCGCTCGGTAACCCTCCCGGCAGCCCTCACTGATACCCCAGTGCGGAGGCGGTAGTCAGTCTCTGTCCGTAGAGGGCGTAGGGAGAGTAGTAGGGTCCGGTGGCGGCGGGCACCGGCACCGGGGCGCCGGGTGTGGGGAGCGGGCTCTTGGAGTAGGGGTGGTAGCGGCTGCTGAGTCCCAGCGCGTGATGGGGGCTGCGCAGCGCCAGCGTCCCCGGGCTGCCTGGGGCGCCGGACGTGGGGATGTGCATGTGGCAAGCCATGGCTGCCGCCGCGGCGCTGGCCAGAGAGGACGAGCTGGGGTAGCCCGACAGCAGTTTGTCTGTCCCAGGGAAGGCCGTATGGGTCCGCAAGTGGCTCAGCAGCTCTTCGGACGTGGCAAAGCGCTTGTCGCACGGCCCGTTGGCCGACACCCAGTTGCAGATGTGGGGGAGAGGGTCGTTAGGGAGCATGAAGCCATAAGGGTAGAGGGGGTGGCCAGCCAGGGAAGGCGGTGTGGCGCCCGCAGCGGCAGCGGCCGTTAGCGAGGAATGCACGCCGTGCAGTGGGTGCGTGGGGTACACCAGTGGGTATCCGGATTTGAGCGCTGCGGCCGCAGCGGCGGGATCGTGAGCGCAAGAGGCGCTGGCGGCTGCTGCCCCTGCCAGGTGACTGGCGCAGTGGTAACTGAGGCAGTACGGGTCCCGGCACAAACTGGCTGTCATCACAGACGGTGGCGACGCCCCGGCCAAAGGGCTCGAGCCGGCCGGTTTACTGCAGCCCAGAGAGCCGGCCGCTGCCGCAGCCAGCTGTGCCCCCACCAGGCTGCCGGGCTTGGTGGGGTCCAGTGCCACGCCGTGTGGCAGGAACTGGGGAGGGTAGCCGGCGTAGGCCCCGGCCAGGCTGCCTGGGTAGGTCATGCCCGCGGGAGGCAAAGGGAACACTGTCTGGCCTGGCTTGTAGGGAGACACCGGAGCCACCAGCCCAGAGCCCAGCACCGAGGAGGAGGTGGGTGCGCTGGGGCCCGAGCCAGAGCTGGAGCCCGAGGAGCCGCCGCAGTCAGAGCCTAGGGGCTTGCCTCCGGGACCCCCATCCGGGTGTTGGTTGACGTCCACATTAATTCCGCCGCTGCAGCTAATCCGGCCGTGCGCCAGCCCGGTGGGTCCCCCTTCCGCCGAGGCGCCTCCGGCACCCTTGCTGCTGCCGCCACCGCCCGCGTCAGCGTCTTTCTTGTCGTCCTTGCCCTCCGGGCCGCCCCCGGCCGAGGGCAGCATGCCGCCGGGCGAACAGGCCGAG